AATCATCAGAGAAATGCAAATTAAAACAACAATGAGGTATCACCTCACACCTGTCAGAATGGCCGCCATCAACAAATCATCAAACAACAAGTGTTGGCGAGGGTGTGGAGAAAAGGGGACTCTAATACACTGCTGGTGGGAATGCAGACTGGTGCAGCCGCTATGGAAAACAATATGGTGCTACCTCAAAAAATTAAAAATTGAACTTCCATTTGACCCAGTGATCCCACTGCTGGGAATATACCCTAAGAAGCCTGAAACACCAATCAGGAAGAATATATGTACCCCCTTGTTCATAGCAGCACTATTTACAATAGCTAAGATCTGGAAACAGCCCAAGTGTCCACCAGTAGACGAATGGATAAAAAAGCTGTGGTACATATACACAATGGAGTACTATGCAGCGGTAAGAAAGAAAGATCTCTTATCCTTTGAGACGACATGGAGGGACCTGGAAAGTATTATCCTAAGTGAAAGAAGCCAAGCAGAAAAAGACAAATACCACATGATCTCACTTATATACGGAATATAATGAACATAACAGTTTGAGGAATACAGTAGACCCAGACACATGGAAGTAGGGCACAGACTGACATCCCTCAGAAGAAGGGATGGGGGGTGGGGGGGTGGGAAGAGATAAACCACAGAACTTATATGCATGTATGCATGACCAATTGACATGGACAACTAAGCCGGGGACAGGGTGGAGGGGGGGTGGGGTGGGGGGTGCCAATGGGGTAAAAAGGTAAAATATCTGTAACAAAAAAATAAATAAAAATTCATGAAAAAAAAAAAGCTACCCCTTCCCATGAGTTACAAAGACAGCTTTTTTGTAACTCACAGCAATTGACATTTTTTCCCCTAAGTAACCTGATACACTTGCACATCCTATGCCTCAGCCTCCACAGCATTCTCAGATAAGATCTGGGGACACTGTGACTCTCATTTTCCCATTATTATTCCAGCCAGAAAGAGGATCTTTTTTATTTAGAAAAACTGACGTATCAGTTTGTTCTTTTCTTATTTCTAGCACAGCAACAGTCAAATTCTTTCTGTGATAGGGAAATAGAGTTATTAAAAATGACATTTTTTATCAACCGTTTTATAATATAGTGAACAATAAGTTTTTGGGGAGAGAGTTAGAAAGACAGAGACTGATGTTCTGATGCCTCCATCCTTGTCAGGCACAGGCCAGCCTTGATGGTGGGTACTATCTGAGCAGTCAATAGTTCTGCAGCTGCCATTCCGACAGCACATAAACCTCTCACCTTAGTCTGGAACAACCAATTGAGACCAAATTTAAATGACTACCCTTGGGTAGTATATGTTTCTGTCTCAAGAATGAGATGGTGAACAGGATCACTTCTGTGCACTTGATCCTTTTTGTCACAACCTAGTATTCTACTGAGGCGTTCTACAATGTAATATTTACCAAAAACGAAAAATTTGTTGATTATTTAAAAATAAATTTTCAATAAATAACTAATCTTAAAAAGGAAATAAAATATTGTGTTGACATAAGAATGAACATTCATATGGACATCTGACAGGACAAATGAAATATGCAACACTGAGTTTGAAAATAACTGTAACCCAACACTTGATAGAAATGGCCTGGAATTTGGCAGGGATGTTCAGGTGCACTTACTGTCGAAGGAAAATGAATGAGGGAGATAGCTAACCAGGAGGTCTGGCCCCCTTGGCCCTGGGAGGTAGCTCTCAGTAGAAATAGACAATGCCTGTAAGCAGTAATCTGAATAAAATGCAATTAGAGACGGTATATCTCATGTGAAAGAGTTAGGGCTCATGCCTCCTTCAGTAAGAGTTTTCCCACACCCTAGGCATTTGTGTGGCTCCAAGGCCCTGTGACTATAGGTCTCACGGGAATGGACTTTGCTTCTAAGCTTCCCACACAGGGAGTTTGGCAACTTGCCCAAGGTTCCTGAAAGACTAGCAATGGGCTCTACACAGTGATAAGACCCAGAACCCTGGGCATCCTGTAAGGACAGATCTAGTCAGGACATGAATCCCTGACACCAGGTTTCAGTAAGGTTTATCCTCCTTTTCTTGGAACCACCTGAAAGCTAACATATGACGGCAAACATTCACAGGAATGACTTCCCAGGCCTGCAGCTAAGAAACAAGTGGGACACCAAAATAAAATAGTTTCTTGTGTTGGTTATCAAATGTTCTGCATTCATATCTCATTTTATGTTCTGTGGTCACTTCCTCATATGCCAGGGGACATTTGGACATTTTCCTAGGCTTCCCTGGGGCTCAATAAATACAGAACTAAACACAAAGTAGCAATGAGGTAGAGAACTCCAGAAGGCCTTTGCAGATGCCCAGCCACTCCCATGAGGACAAAGAAAGGGAAGCGGGCTGGAGCCAGAGAGTAGTGCTGTCAGATGATGTACACAGAGATAAATCCTGCTGTCAGTGGTCCTTGCCTTGTATGCACCTCAGCACAACTTCCCACATTCCAAGTTTTCAGATTGGTTCCTAACACTCACAATATCCCCTCAAGTACTGGTTCAGCTCAAGGAATTAGAACTCTTGTTTCTCTTTGCCCTATTCCCCATGACCATCTAAACTATAAAAGTAACACCCCCTGCTTGAAAGATGCATCTTTTACTCTTTCATTCCCCCCCAAAAAAAAGTTGTTGTTGTTTGTTTGTTTGTTTTTTATGCTCTAAGAGGGGAAAAGGAAATGATGGCAAAACTAACACTTCTGTCGTTCATGTATTATCCAAGAAGCACCATCTCCAAAAAGAAGGGTTGGAGGCTCAACTTCTCATGGCTGCTGGTCCTTTGGGTGGCCAAGTTCTCAGGTTTTAGCAGATCTTCAAACCCTGGGAGAATGACCCAACAATGAGTTGTCCCAGAGTCTGAACTCTCACATGTTCTAATTTCCTCCATATCACATAAAACACCAACCATGAACAAATAAAAAATTAAAAATCTCATTAGTCAATTGAGCTGTCTTGATCATGATTCTTCATCCTGACGCAATGTGTTAGAAGAGCCAAGAAGGTTTTGAAGAGTTAAACCCAAAGCAGTGCACTGCTGACCTCAGATGTGGACACTTTGATTGGCCCTGTATGCTTGCAATAGGTATTATTATTAGTAAGGTGAAAATGGCGAGTCCAGGATTTGTAAATGACTCTGGTCCCTTCAGGTGTGAAATGATACTGTCAGGGCTCAGAGGAGAAAGACTTTCTGAGGGATTGCTCATGGGACCAGGTGGGGCCTGCCAGTTCTGGCTCTGGCAGCACAGGCTCTGCACCCACAGCAATTGGGGCTTAGTATGTCTCACTGCTTGACACCACCTAGACAAGTCCCCAGGATGGCCTCAGTTTATCCTTCAAAGTGGATCTTGGCTCCACTATAAGAATGTTTCCTTCAGAAGTTGACATTGAAACAAAAATTCAGATGCAAGTGGTTTATTTGGAGGTAATCCTAGAAAATACAAGAAGGGTTATGGGGATGTAATATGTAACAGTGAGCAGAATCACAATGTGGGCAACAAGCTCCATCTTGCCAGGTACCTCTCAAAGACTGAGTAGAAAAAAATTTGTGTTATCTCCTGGAGCATTAGAAGGCTAGGATATTTAATCTCCAACTTTAACCTCTGGCTAAGACTCTTCCAAGGAGCATTACCTACCAAGCACGCTAGCCTGCCTGTCACAGGTGAAAAGGAAACCCTTAGACAAAGAGGCTCAGGTGCTCACCATAAGTCCTGCAAGGAAAGAACTCTTTGAGAGCGTTTACCTGTCAGCCAGGTGGCATCTGAGCTTCACCATCTTTCACATGTCTGTTAGAACTCACTCCTGCATTATTGTTGGCATTCCCCTGCCAACCGTAATATACATATCAGTGCTATAGTTTCCACATCTAAGTTTCAGAAAGCACCTCTTTTTGGTCATGCTAACTTCCTTCATCCTCTCAGCCCACTCCTACACACACACACACACACACACACACACACTGAGGTAGCCAACATCCAAGATGGCCTCCCCTGATCCTCATCTCTCGGTCCTTATGCTCTTGTAGAGTTCCCCCCACACACACACACAGTTAACCAGGGATAATCTAGTTAACCGAGAGGCCCAGGTGGAGAACAGAAACCTCCTATCAGCACCAACCCACAGCCATGAGAGTAAGCCACCTGGGAAGTGGTTTCTCCAGCCAAATTAACCCTCAGGTGAGGGTAGTACAGTCAATGTCTGAGTGTAACCTCATGAAAGATAACACCTGGAACCACTCAGCCAAGCCACCCCCAGATACCTAACTCACATAAATAAATCGCTTAAGCCACTAAAGGCAGAGTTATTAGATAATATAATAGTCATGAAGCTTTAGATAATCCATTCTACTCTATGTATGCACACACAATTGCAGCCTACTGTCTATTTACCATCACTTCTGCATTTTACCTGCTTCAATTCAAAACCAGAAGTAAAACACAAATCTCCAAATGACCTATCTCCCAGGTACATCTGGCATTTAAAACTGTTTCTAAGCCATTAGGTTGTGTTTTCCCAGAAGTTCCAGTCAGAAATATTTCTGCAGAAATCCATGGATGAATTCATGAATGGGCACTCTCAAGGCAACCAGACCCTTAGAACCTTGTAGAAACTACACACCAGCTTGTAGCAATTGAGGGCTGGGTCCTCTGTTTAGTTATTCGGAAAGCTGTCAGTGAAAAGTAACTTTTGCTCAGGTTGCTAAAATGGAAACAATTTCACCCTCTCTTTCATTCTCAGTAGAAGATTGTCCGTGCCAGGAAATGAATTAGCCAACTAGAAGAGGCTGCCTAACACTATAAAAAGACATCACATTCTCATCATCAGCCCCTGAAAAATACAGACACACAAACGAACACAAAAAAGTAAAAAGCCCACAGAAATGAAGTCAATGGGAGCTGTGTTATTTAAATGTTTTGCAAGTATCTGCCTCTTTAAATGAAAGTGAGAGTGGCAGAATGTTCTAGAAGATTTTTAAACATCTTGACATTTTTTCTCCAGCATAGTGAGTTCAAATTTCCAGGGTTTGGTTGCAACGATGAAGGTGCAAAGAAACATCTAAAAGAGACAAAAAGAATAATCAGCTTTAAGAAAAAATTGAAAAAAAAATTTTTTAAATTTATATTTTAAGGTGTGAGGATTTGGCTTCAGGAATGCTAAGAGGTAGTCTGAGCCAGCCAGGCCCCCATAAGTCTCAGAATTGTTGACATGAAATTTAATGGCAGAGGAACCAGCCTCACTCACCAAGTTGGGCTCCTGTCAACTCACTTCCCTGTGACCTGAAGCCATCATCTACATGGCTCTGTTTGCTACAGGATAGCCCAGGAACTGACTATTCTCAGAAACCCCTGCTTCCAGCTCTGGTTTTCATCTAGTCAGGCCAACTTCCCTGCAACCCACAGAGACCCCTGCTGCATGGAGGGCACAGTGTGGGTCCTTCCTAGGGGAGGAAACCCAAGAATACTACAGGGTCCTGCATGCCTTGTGGAGGGGATGGGGGTCAAAAACTGGCTGGAGACCACCAAGAAAGCTTTCAGTCTGGGAGCTGGGAAGAGACACATAGTGCTCTTCCCATGGCCTTCATAATGAGCAGGGTTTCAAGCTCACAATGTGGGATGAGTTGACTTGTGTCCCTCCTCTCTATCCTAAAAATGTGATTCAGTTAGAATAAAAACAAACTAAGGCACCTCCATTACAACAATGGAAATGTGAATGGCAGCATAAAGTAGAACCAAAGTTGCATAAAATACAAAGACTAAGGGAACAGTTTGAGGGAAAAAATAGGACCAAGCTACCAGCAACTCAGACAGTCCACTGAAGGACTAAGGCAAGATTGAAGGGTTGTCTAGGTCAGATGGGCATTCAGGATGGGTTAAGCTTTTGAGTGGCGTGGTGGGGAGGAGAGATAGTGGTCTTATCAGAAAGTTAACTAATTGTTTAACTTCTAGATCAGTCAAGGAAGACAGGAAATAGTCATAAAACAGAGGGATTAAAAACTCAATTATCAAGATCAATCATAGAGAACATTTTATCAATGTATATTAAAAACCTTTAAGAGGTGAAAAACATTAGATGAGTAATTCAACTTGTGGGGACTTTGCCTATAAGAAAATAACAATCAGACATGCATCCAAATAAAAATAAAAAGAAATATTCATTAAAACACTGTTCATGATAGCTGAAAAAAAAAAAAAACAAAAACATAGTTCTTAGAAATCGGCTAAATAATATGTGAAAATATTAAATCAAATAAAATAGTTTCACTATATAATATTTTCAAATAATTTTAGTTTTGAAAATCCTCAGAGTTTATTATTAAATGAAATTCCAAATTATGGAACAGTGTACAATATGATTCCCAACTATATAAAAATACAAATATAATGTAAAATATTAAAAAAAAACAAGGATGCCAAAATATATTGAGAGTGGTACACTTTACATAAGGATACTAATAGTTAGTTTTAAGCTATTCCAACTTTTAAAAATTTCTAAATTTTCTACATTAAATAAATCAGGTCAATAACTATTTAAAATAATTTTAAAATTTTGGATTTGAGAGATGGTGGCAGGAAGGACCGGAGGGAGGGTGAGTGTGTAAAAGAGTGAGGGAGTGAGTGAGAGAGTGTGAGTGGACTCCAAGGTCGATGACCAAACCCCTGCAGTGCAGAGACTCTGAGCAGAAAGTTTCTGTGCTGTGGACAGGAGAAACCAGCTACCACCATAAGCAGCCCTTCAGGCTACTTCTCCCTGCTCTGCGGGAGGACCCACCATTTTGTAAGATCCCACGTTTTCCCTGGGAGGAGGCAGTGGGAGCAGCTAGGGCCCGGCAACCTGAGCCTACCAGCACACCTGGCACCATCAGACATGTGGACACTGTGTACCAACACAGACCAGTGCACAATAGTGGAGCTTCCAAGGTGCCAGTTGTGGAAGCCACGGACAGCCCAGAGCCCAGCACCATCCCCCATATAACAGCCCAATCAGAGTCCAGATATACCCCCAGCAACAGAGGCTGGGGAGCAGAAATCCATCCCCAGGAAACAGAAGCACAGACCAGCAGAAGAGAGCCATTCCAAAAATCTACAGCAAAAGCTGAGTAGGATTTGAGCCCCACAGGGCAGCAGCACTCTCCAGCTGCCAGCAGAGGGACCTGGGGCTCCACAGAGGCCTGTGCAGCCCAGCAGGGACAGTAGCTCACAAGTGCAGTGGGAAGCCCAAGCCCTAGAGAGACTGGTACAATCCAGCTTCCTGCCTGCAAGAACCGCAAGGTGCAGGGCACCAGAGAGACCCGTGAGACCCAGCAAGGACTGCACAATCAAGTTATCCATGGGTCCTGTGGGATGCTGAAGCACCAGAGAGGCCTGTGCGACCCAGCAGGGACTGTGTCATTAAATAACCAATGGGACTGGCTGGGTGCGGAAGCACCAAAGAGGCCCACGCAACCCAGCAGGGTCTGTGCCATCCAGTTAGCCGCAGGAACTGCGGGGTGCTTCAGCAACAGAGAGTACTTTTTGACCCAGCAGGGACTGCATTATCTAGTTACCCATGGGACCTATGGAGTACAGAAGCACCAGAGAGGCCTGCATGACCCATCAGAGACTATACCATCCAGTTACTATCAGGACCTGCAGGATGCTGAAGCACCAGAGAGGCCTGTGCGACTCAGCAGCTCATAACATAGGCATAGAGCAGGGTCCCCAAAGAGACTGTGCATTACGGTTACCCGTGGGACCTGCAGGGTGCAGAGGCACTAGAAGAAAAGCCTGTGCTACCAAGCTGAGCACAAAAGAGGCTTAGAGGATGTGAAAAAAGAGGCGGAGAGAATAGAAGCTATGCAAAGGATCTCCCAGGACCAAACGGGAATTACTACTAAAATAAAGACAAATCCTCAGAAAAAATCAACTGAAAACACCAGGATAGGACCATATAACCAAGGACACTGGTAGGATTTGCAGAGGCATGAGAGGGTGGTGGGCTGGGAGCCCAAGGACAGCAGCATCCTTAGATGTGAGCAGCACCCTTGGAGAATAAAGACCAAGCCTGCTCCACAGCCCAGAGTGCCAGGACAGAGCAGTAAAATAGCCACTGCTACTCACCTGGAAGCTATTATAGAGGGAGGGAAGACTGGGCTGGAACTCTGTGGGGACATTCTGCATTTGGAAGGCACTCAGAGTTTTTGCTGAGTTGCGGCCACAAAGGACGGTGGCCAGTGTGCTCTTTCCCAAAGCTGTGTGTAAAAGCAGCAGCCACCCCCCTCAGAGATTCAGCCTTTCCCAGGTGAGGCAAAGAAATGCAAATTGAGGTTCATTAACAACTAGCATCTATCCCACCCTCTGGAAATCCTCTTAGGCAGAACACCAGGACTGCATTCCAAGGCACCGATTAACTGAGACTAATAGCCAACAGGAAAAACCTAGAAAATAACTGAACCTTTCCTGGGCTTCCAAATCTACCCAGGAAAGTAAAACTTGACAGTGGTGTTTAAAGTGGGCCCACCCAGACTCATCCAAACTCAGTAGAGGAAGCCAGAAACAGCAGAACACCAACACCCACAGAGAAAATTTAACAGGCTCCAAAACCCACAGAGATAGCCAAAATGGTGAAACAAGGAAACAAATCCCAAAGGAAAGAACAAGGGAACTCTATCAAAAATGAGATTAACGAAATACAGCTAAGCAAATTATCAGAGATAGAGTTCAGAGCCATGATCTTAAGGAAGCTCAACAGCATGAGTAAGGGAATCAGCACCATGAATAAAGATATAGAAACATTGAAAACCAACCAAGTGGAAATGAAGAACACATTGGAAGGACTAAACAGCAGAGTAGAGGAAGCTGAGGACCGGATAACTGAATTAGAAGACAGGGTAGAAAAAAAAAAAAACTACCAATCAGAAAACCAAAAGAAAAAAATGATTAAAAAACAGAAAGATAACTTAAGAGAACTGTGGGACAACTGGAAACATAATAACATTCGCATCATAGGAGTCCCCGAAGAGGAAGAAAATGGGCAAGGTTTAGGGAACATATTTGAAGAAATAATGACAGAAAACTTTCCTAACTTGGTGAAGGAAAAAGGCATTCAAGTTTAATAAGCACACAGAGCCCCAAGTAAGAAGAACCCAAACAGGCCCACACCTAGACACATAGTAATTAAAATGCCAAAAATTAAGAACAAAGAGAATCCTAAAGGCAACAAGACATCAGCTACAGGTTACCTACAAAGGAAACACCATAAGGCTCTCAGCTGACTTCTCAACAGAAACACAGAAGGATGTGGCATAAAGTAATCAAGGTCATGAAAAACAAGGATCTGAATTCAAGACTACTCTATCCCTCGAGGCTATCATTCAAAATAGGAGTTCAAATAAAGAGTGCCCCAGATAGAAAAGGGGTAAAGGAATATATTAATACCAAACACCACTGTAAGATATTCAAAAAGGACTGCTGAAATTAGTAGAAGAAATAGGAAGAAAAATAGAACCACACTAAAGAAAAATGACCATAAGTAAGTACATATCAATTATCACCTTAAATGTTAATGGTTTGAATTCTCCCATAAAAAGACACAGAGTAGCTGAGTGGATAAGACAGCATGACTCACATATATGTTGTTTGCAAGAGACCAACCTCAAAACAAAAGACTCACACAGGCTGAACATGAAGGGATGGTAAAATATCTTTCAAGCAAACAGAAAACAAAAAAAGCTGGAGTAGCAATACTCGTATCTGATAAAATAGATTTCAACATGAAGACCAGAACTAGGGACAAAATATGCCACTACATAATATTGAAATGATCTATCTAACAGGAAGATATAAACTTGATAAACATATATGCACCCAATATAGGTTCAACAACATATATTAAAAATCTGGAAGACTTCAAAGGAGAAATCGATAGCAATACAATCACAGCAGGGGACTTCAACACACCGCTGACATCACTGGATAGATCCTCTAGACAAAAAATTAACAAGGAAACACAAACTCAAAATGAAGTGCTAGATCAAATAGATTTCATAGAGATCTACAGAGAATTATACCACAAAACTG